TTCACCTTTACAAAAATGACATTTTCAGGTTCTTCTTACGTTCCATACTTAATATTAAACAATAATATACTGTATTTTATATATAATATTAAATGTATTATATAATTCTATAATGTGGACAAACGCATTCACTATGAATCTGTCCTAATTCAGTTACTTGTCTAGTCTAACACTGTTCCTGGAAGGCTGGTGAGTTTGTAGGTTTTCATTCCAGCTCAGCCCTTAAGATAAATCATCTAAATGCTGGATTAATTGGATTGATTTTACAGCTTCTCCCTCCTCTTCAAGGTGATGCTGCTTTAAAGAGACCTAGAACACACACCAGCCCCCCAGGACCAGGACTGGACAGCCCTATATTACAGCATGTAAACGCTTTCTGTAAATTGGCCACCTCCTGTCCTTCTTCCCCATTCCAAGCAGCTTTGAATAAATTCTAATTGGTGAGTTTCCTGGCAGCTACATATTTTTTTTCAGATCCACATGTAACATTTCCCTCGGACTGAGGTCAGTCCAGTACTTTGATCCTTCTTCTCTTTACAAAATTCTTTGGTAATTGTTAATTTGGCTGTGTTTCATACCACTGTCATGATGAATTATGAAGTTACTTCCAGTGTATTGGTGGTTTACTGCCTCTGAAATTGCTTTAATCATATAAGGTTTCCATTCCCTGAAAAGCTAAAGCACATCCACACTATGATAGAACAGCCACCATACTTGATAGCACCGTTGGGATAATGATCTTCCTTTCATCTCTCATATGAACCTTTTTACTTATTTCTGGAAAGAAAATGCTGACTCGCCATACTACCAGACATGGTCAGAAGTAATCTGACTTGTTTTTTATATATTGGACATATTATCAGTTAAGACAGTATATCCACTGATACAATTTTGTCAAGTATCATTCTATTGTTCCATGACCTGATTCTGCCCACTTGTTCTAGGTCTTTGGTAAAGCCTGTGGCTGTTTGCTACAGCAAATAAAATGACAGAAATAACTGAACGGTTGAACTAGGGGTTGACTGATAAAAGTACTTTTTTTATTCCTTTTTTTCCTTTCTCAGTACAATTTTAGGCACAAATGATGTGCTCTTGTTCTACATGTACTGAACAACTGTAGTCTCATACTCACATTAACCTTTATCACCCCTAAAAAGTGTTACTAGAAAAAAATTATATGCTTCTTATAATAAATACATATTGGAAAAAATATGAAGGAACATATCTTTAAATACAAAACCAGAAAGTAGAGCTAACAAAAATTAAAGCACAACTTAAGGTTATCGGCACAATTCCCCCCAAAACATATAAATACAGGATACAAAATAGAAGGTTTAATTATACTGTAAGTGTGGTGCTTTAATGGACCTCAACATTTTTATTCCTATTTTCAAGGAAATTAAACTCTGTTTTAATGAGTTGCATGTACCATTTTCACATACTTCGAAGCAATTGCTACTGATGAAGTGATGCTTATGCACAGGAAGTGCATATAGATGAGGGTTTTGATTATTTTCCCCAAACGTTTGTTTAATAAAATCCATAGAACACAGGAGTTTCCTCTGCTCAGGACCTAACTATTCATCTTTGTCCAGAGGTAATCCCTAAAGTACTGAAATGTTAAAGAAGAGGGTTATTTGTGTCAAAGTTTTTCCACACATTTAAAAGATTAAAGCAGCAGGCAATGTACAGTAAATAGTGTTAACATATTTACTCATATGTAATGTCAGCTTCTGAAACTGCAGTATTTTTGTTAAAAAATGTTTAGGATGTCACTTTTTAAAGAACAGTTAAATTAATATTGCAACATTGTTTTTTTAAACGTTTATGCAAATAACATGTTCAACTGCAATTACTGCTACACATTTCACTTAATATCATTACCTAAACAATAAAATATTTAAAAATGCAACCCTTTTTATAAGCCACTATGTCTCTTCATGGTTGAAAAAAATAAAAAATCAGATAATCAAATAAAATATGGAATAAAATATATTATCTATAAATATATATAATATATTCTTATAATATAAGAAAAAATTAAGAAAATTAATCCATATTATTTGTTGGGTACTTTAGCAACAAAGAAGAATTTTCATGATCTTGAACATTTAGGAACTGTTACAATGATTCTGAACTTTACAAGGAGAGTGAACTTTATCTCCTTTCAAGTGTGCACTTTCGGCCAGTTTATTGTTACCATCTCCCTTGGGTTCACTTAAAAAGTAATGCGATGCTAAAAATCACATTAACAGGTTGTGCCTCTGGGGTGGCAGACTTTAAAAAGCAACGTGATTGAAGATCATCCCAATTTTATCTAAGTGACTTTGTCATGCACCATAAATCAGAATACGCTTGCTGTTCAGTACGCATTTCCCCCAAATCTTTTATCTTAAAGACATCCTGTCCCGTCATACCTTTTTGGAAAAAGACGTGTGTGATTACAGTCCTGCAGAGGGGACACGGTGTGTTGCCAGGGTTGTTCTTGGCCAGGGTGCGGAGACAGGGCTCACAGAAGATATGGTGACACGGGTAGCACATATAGGGGCTGAAGTAGACATCCAGGCAGACAGCACAGATGTACCCATCCTTGTCACCGTTGTGACTGTCTTCATCATCGCTGCTGGACAGATTCCAAGTTGAGCTCTGCGAGAGAAACACTCTATGAACTTTAACCACTAATGCTGCATCTGCTCATTCAATGCATACAGAAAATAGGAAATCTAAATTTCTTATTGTTGAAAACTAGTCCCAACATGAGCTACATAAAGCTAGATCAACAGGATATTTTCAGGACAAATATATTTTCAATAATCAGCTATAATCTTAGCGCTCATGTTCAATAACACTAAAAGGTGCTCTTCCTAATGCAGTGATCTGAAGCAAAACAAACACATTAACTATGTGTTTTGCTTATTGTGCTTCTTTTTTATAAAAAGCAGTCTTTTATTGTATTTATATATATGCAATAAATCTCTCCAAACCTATCTTGGAGCACAGGTTGTGAAGCAGAGATTGCTGTATTGTAGTCTGAGTTGCTGTTATGCACCCCCATACAATTAGTACATTAAATTTGGAGAGAGATCCATTTTCATGTTTGAAGCTCAATCAGCCTAGTGTATGGAAAGAGTTCCAAGCTCACTTTGGCCACACCAACCATCTTTTTCAGTTCTGATTCATCTGTTTTCCTTTAAACTACCCTTTACTTCAAAAAACATTACTCAAGCCTGAATGTCTACTGAATGTATGGTAGTATCAAACATGAGAAGTCTGAAATTCATAAGACTGCACTGAAAACAGAAAACTTTCTAAGCCAGAAAGCTGCTTTCACCATTGCCAGATCTTTCTATCTTTGCTCCTGATGACAAAATTCCAAGAAATGGAAACCTTAACATTTAACTTTTATGTTGTCACAGATATACTGAGCTATGCACTGAGAACAGGTGGATCAAAGCACATCTTTTAAAGTAGAACATCATAAAAAGTCACTGCTACAGCATGAAAGTTATTAAAACGTCACAAGCTTTGATCTGAGGCCTTTACTGTAGTTCTGTGGGTGCAAAGGGCATTGACATCTGACCCTAATGGAATATATGAACCATGATGAGACATTGGACAAAACATGGTTCTCTTATTTGTGACAAAATATTTTTGTTTTGAGTAAGTATAAGACAAGGATTTATAGGATATTATGAAATGTAAGTTAAAAAATTCCTCAGACTCCTTATCAAGCTGCACAGGACAGAAAAATAAGTTTTATGTTGTCTTATGCTTTGCATTTTGAAATCAGTTTAAATAATAAAATTTATTTTATATAGCACCTTTAAAGGTGGCTTTTCAAACCTTTAAGATAAGCGCTTAGTTTTAACATGTCGATTGTTGAATATTTCACTATGAAATTGGCTTTTAAATAGGTGTATTGGGTTTTTAATTCCATAAAATACAGTACAAAGTTTTTTTTTTTATTTTCACATGTTTTAATCCACTCCGGGTTTGTTACACCTGCATACAACCTTGATAATAACAAATTAACCAACTTGGTATAGTTAGTTAAAATTTAAATACCATGGACTAGGCGAAGAGGTAAAGGCATTTAAAACACTACTGTACATTCCAAATTCGTTAAGGTCACAATAAAATTAAATATATTTTTACCCAGATCATTCTAAATTGATATACTGCAGATTTAGAGCTGAGCTCCTTGAAATGATGTCTCCAATGATAAGCAAACAGCCTCAAGCTCATTAAACAACCTTCTACCTAAGAGAAAAAAATAGTTGTTCTCGGTGTACTACAACATCTGTGATGGAGAACAGCTTTTTCTGCGATTCTGTTACAAGACAGAGCTAACTTCTACTGAGGAGACATAAACCATTTACTTTTTTTTACAAAGATGCTATTATATTTTGGTTAGGAGCCATGTGATTTGGGGGTACTTAAAATTATAAAATACTCACTTTTCCCTTTTCACTTTTCATATTGGTGTTTGAAACATTACTAATGGAATAACTGCTGAATAAGACCAACAGGAATTTTTCATATTGAAAAGAAAACATCAAAACATTTTTATATATGTTGTAATGCAGAGTTCTACCAATGCAAAGTGTTGAAGTTTGAACAGTGTGGTTGTGAAATACTTCAAATCTATGTACAGTACTGTATCTACATCTATGTCTAATCTATATCAGACAAAACTGTTATAGCATTATCCATGTTATGTTGCATATTCCTAAATGGAAATATTGTACACATATGAAAAGGTTGAAATGCTGAACATGCACAGAAACCTAGAAGTCCTTCCACAATCAAATGTATGTTTGGAAACATTGGCAACATCAGGGCTAACAGAAGAAATAAGAACAGTTAGGAAAGATACATTTAGGACACTGTGAGATCTGGACTACCTGTCTAAACTAGGTGATAAACCCATTGAAACGTTTCTGAATATAATTCAGCAGATTTCTTAAATAACCAAAGGTTTAGTATGCACAGCCAATTTTGTAGTATCAACTGTAGTAAGTGTTGTGTTTCATATTATATTATAAGACTAAGTTTTCAATCATTGATTTTCTGTATAAACGTATTTGAGGTCAATAAATCTGCAGTGATACTGGAAGTACAGTAGTTTAAGAATCTAACTATGATCATTTAACTCCACTAATCATGATTCACCTAATATAGAAAAAACTAAGACAAATAAATCACCTCAAAATTGTTTTTTTTTCCCATCAATTCCATGAATTAAAAAGGTGCATTCTGTAACACACATAAAGAAGACACACACTGTACTGTGCAAGACTGGAGTCAAGAGCTGGACTGTTTCTCAACCACATCAGGAAAATATGAGAAATTTAGAATGCATTCAACCAAGTCTGGGACAGTCAGAGCAATAACGTTGCTGCACATAATGCTTAGAATAAAAAGCTTCCTCTAACATCTAACACTGTGATTTGCAAGATGCTTAGTGCTTCTGTAAGAATCAACACCTTCTTTTAAATAGAACCTCACGTGCTGCACCCATCTACAGTACTGCATGTACACTGGCACCAAGAGCCTTTTCTAAGAAGAAGCAGATGGAAGGTTAGCCATTTAAAATGCCAAAAAAAATACTGTACATTATTATATTATCACAATTATCAGGGATATTAAAACAAGTACTTACAACACAATTCAATTGGCTTCATTAAATATATACTTTCACAAATTAAAAACATGAAATTATTCTGAAGAAAGATTTTGATCACTGTACTACACATACCCCAGATATTTCTACATGCATTGCTGGAGTGAACTTCATTATAAACAAAATGCGACATTCATCAATTTATCACTATGAATATATATTTCACATCATATGGCTCTGTTGCCTGTGTTAAATACTGTACAGTCAAGGTATTTTCTATTACTGATTCAAACGAGCCATTTCTTAATGAAAATGACCTGAAATGCAGATACTGCATGTATTACGTCCTTCTTTCTTTGTTATTCTACATGTAAATTCCCCAAGCAGCCTTATCATAATAAAAAGAGAAAATTTAAATAACCTTTTCACCTTACACAGAAGGATTACAGAACTGCAGTCTTGAAGAGACTGTTAAGCAAAACATTCCTAGGTATTAAAGGGGGTCAGACAGTTTTTTTTAAATGTTGCTTAGCAACTTAAAATGAAAGTGACTTCATTCCAGGGTGTTCACTTTAAGAATGTGTTGCTAGTCAAGGATAAATAAAACATTAAACATATTTGTAGATTTTCAGTAGCTGTGTTCCTGTTCTTTGTCATGGACAATCTCTTCATCTCTGCGACAAGGCTTTTTCCCCAGACAAGAAGGTGAAAATTTAGTTTAAGAAAAGTTAATAGTGTGAATCAAAAAAGCCAGGATAGTACACATCACAAAAAATCTTTTTGAAAGGAAATTGTAGAGAATTTTCTTATTATTACATGACAATGGCATTATTCTTTATGTCAGAATAATGGAAGATCTTAATTGATTTTCAATTACCAGTTGCAGAGAACTTGCATTAATCTCTTGGAGACTTTGAAATTAGTTTTACCGATGAACATCTGACACCAAGCAATAATTAAATTCACTAAGAGTGAGTATAAGATTTCAGACTTTTGAACATTATCCTAAAATGTTTTATTGAAGAAAGGCTTTTTGCTTTCCTCTGGAACGAGGATGCCACACACAAATACAATGCATGCCTGTAAAAGAGCAAATGGTTTGCTGTCATTTTATTACAGATGTTTCTTAACAACATACCAAACAGGATTTGCATACTCCATGGATTCTGTCACAAAACGCCAGTAGTTTATTAGCACAAGCTGCTGTCAGCTCATTTCTGACAGATACTCTGTCAGGCTCTTGCTCTGGGTTCGTGTTAATCTGTATGGCTTGGATTCCCAAAGTGCAGGGCTAAATTTGCCGAATGCTGCCAGCATAGTGTAGGTTATAGCTAGAGTCCTCATGCTTTTCTGCGAGTTGCCAGGTCTCACACTTGGCAGAGGTGTCAGCGAGATACGCCTCTAACTCTCCTCTAAGACACTGCAGCTTGCCCGTCAGTCCTCGGTCACCACATGAGGGAATAGGGCTTGTTGCCAAAAGGCCAGGCCTTAAACAATTGCTGACTCAGGACATGGTGAGTACTTTACAATAATTCTTACAAATATGGTAACATTTGAAAATAATGTATGAAATCTTTGCCCCATATTACTTTTCAACTGGTAAAAAAACAACAAAGTCCAATAGTATTCAGAAGTGTCTAATTAAGTTGGACATTCTACTTATTTTTGCTGTATACTGTATACACCTTTGCCTTCCATCTTGCACAATAATAATTAATTACTTATCTACTTTATTACATATCCAATCTAAGCAATCACATATCAATAGTTCAATATTTCTGCATAGCACTCAAACTAGCAAAGATATTTGGAATAAAAAGCATCAATATATTGGCTGGACTGCTAGGGCAAGCAAGATGACAGCTCTGGCCTGAGCTACATTCCCCAGAAAGCAGGGAATGTCCTACCAACATCAGTCACCTGAATGGTTGCTGAAGGACCGGTGATCAGATGATAATTTAAAACCAGGAAGCTGAAGCTTCTTGAGACATGAGGGGAAAAGACTGAATAGAGATCCTTATGT